CGAAAGTGGGGAAAAGCGGTGCAATCTGAAATGGCAAACCGCTTCAGATCCAGCTCTTTACCGGAAGGGGAAAGCCATGTGTGAAATAGCAGCCCTATCCCGGTTCTCTTCAAAACGGATCATTACCGGCTTGAAACCGGGTGAAACTGGGTAATGTGAAATTCCCCAGTTTCTCTGCTCTCATCAAGGTGCTTGGGATCTCCAGAACTTTCTCAACGTCCTGCGTGAACTGTCCTTCCAAACCATTTCTGCCTAGAGGCATGTACCAGGTATAGATTCAGACGGGTACCCTGCCTGATTCGCAACTTTTAAAATGCCACCGTATATTGGTTTCAACGTGTGAACATGCAGTAAACACAGTGTTGTCGCCATGAGCCACTCACACCTGCAACAGCCACCTGTGCTCTCAGGGATGGATCCAGCAAATAACTTTCTGCTAACAGAAGGGGGGGTGTGATTTTCAGCATTCCCTCCCCACCTGCTACAGACCTCCGATTCACCCTCACGCCACTCTTGCACCCCACAACCCCCAGAATCAGCGTATCAGTGGGAAGTTTTGTTCCACCAACAAAAACGGTGTGGAAATTATCACTGAGATCTAACCCTCTGGGTACCCACGCCATCCGTAAAATGAAAAGTGGCTCTAAATCTAATAATACATTATTTATTAGTGAGAAGCTACTAGTGCTAAAATTGAGATAACACAGGCCAAGTATAAAACATGGCCTAAGGTTAGAGGTGGTTCATAAATATGACCCTAAGCAGATTAGATCGTGTTCTTTGAGAGCAGGAATCATTAACACTCTCTGTAATTCTTGCCATTACATACATATCCCATAGCTTATCGTGCCAGTTCTGTTTATTTGGTCTCTGTTTACTTTTCCACTTTAGAGCAACAGCATTTTTTGCCACGGCAAAAAGAATGGCAATTTGCTGTATTGTACTCTCTACTGGTATATCTATACTCCATTGATGTAAAAGAAGAAGTTCTACAGTATTTTGCAGTTTTATACCCGATATTTGCTCTATGGTTAAGATTATCTCTTCCCAAAAGGCCACTCTTGCACCCCACAACCCCCAGAATCAGCGTTATCAGCGGGACGTTTTGTTCCACCAACAAGAACGTTGTGGAAATTATCACTTGAGTTCTAACCCTCTGGGCACCCGCGCCATCCGTAAAATGAAAAGTGGCTCTAAATCTAACAATACATTCTTTATTAGTGAGACGCTACTAGTGCTAAAATGGAGAAAACACAGGCCAAGTATAAAACATGGCCTAAGGTTAGAGGTGGTTCATAAATATGACCCTAAGCAGTGGGGAAAGACCTGGAAAATTCACCTTTGCTTCGCTACGACTCTCGTTAGCGGTGTGTGGAACACATGGTACAATTTCCTCTTTAATTCTGAATTTAAAGTAGGGGTATGGGTGTCCAACAACTT